TCACATATTGCAAAACACAGAAATGACCAAGGGTCATTTGAAGAAAGTAAGTAGATTCGAACAAGCTTGGGATAGAAGCTGGTGACTGTGAAGTGGCTGTGGGAAGTCAAGGGCAGTACCAGATCAAGAGAAGTACTTGAAGGAGTGGTGATGGTGAAGGTTAAGGGCTCAAAGAACACGCATGCCCAGGGCTTCTGCTTAGGTTAAGCTGGACGTCCAGGGCTCGATAGAGAGGTGGGAGCAGGAGTTGTTCTGACATCATGGGAACAGAGGCCCTGGACTTGCAAGAAGGCTGCTTCCCAACAAATCCACCTGAGTCAAAAATATCAACAGCCAAAAGCACTCAATAGCCTGATAAGCCCAGTGAGAAGTCAAAGGCTCTGAGTCACCATGCCTCCCAGCACCTACTTGGCCCGCTGGTCTTCTCTTTCATCCATCTTCACCATTCCTAGGACAGCCAATAAAGATTCTGAAATTCTAAAACCAGTTAGTTGAATGAGTCCAACACAAAGGCCAGAGGCCCTGGAGAGTGGGCTCAGGACGGGCCTCCGGAACACACTCTGCAGCTCACCAACAAATGCCCTGAAGGCAGACCATGGAAGATAAATGCCTGGTGAGTTAGAGATGGTAATAAACCCTGTCTGAGAATGCTGCATTCTGATTATCTAACTTAACCCAACATACATACTATCTTGAGAAAGGATGAATAATTGTTCCTTACTCTCCAAATATCAACCATGTCAGGTCTGCTTTTGTTGAGAATCACAAAGTAGTAATTACAGGTTAAAATTTCAAGTAAAATGCTGCAGAAAATACTGTGTGTGACTAACAAGAATGACCAATCTATTTTGGATAGAAAACTTAGATAATCCAATCAATAAATGGTCAAAGGAACTGAACAGGCATTTCACAGAAGAAGAAATATAAATGGTCAAAAACTATATGAAAAAGTGTTTAAAATCTCTAGCAATTAAGAGAAATGCAAATTAAAACTACATTGAGATTCCATCTCACTACAGTCAGAATGGCAACAATCAAAAATACAAGTAACAATAAAATGTTGGCAAGGATGTGGAGAAAAGGTTCACTCATACCAATTTGCCGGTGGGACTGCAAATTGGTACAACCACTCTGGAAAACAAAATGGAGATTCCTTAGAAAACTGGGAATGGAACCACCATTTGACCCAGTCATCCCACTCCTCAATTTATTCCCAAAAGACTGAAAAGCAGCAAACTACAGTGAAGTGTCCACATCAATGTTTATAGCAGATCAATTCACAATAATTAACCTATGGAACCAACTTAGGGCCCTTCAACAGATGAATGTATAAAGAAAATATGGTTCATATACACAATGGAATATTATTTATCACTAAAGAAAAATTAAATTATGGCATTTGCTGGCAAATGAATGGAACTGGAGACTATTATGCCAAGTAAAATAAGTCAATCCCCCAAAACCATAAGATGGAATGCTTTCTCTGATATGTGGATGCTAACACATAATAAAGTAGGGGAAGGAAGAATAGTAAAAAAAAGTTAAAAAAAAAAACTTGCAGACAGAGGAACTGTCATGAAAATTTAAGCAATTGAATGGCGGCAGGAATTTTTAAAAAGGGAATGTTTTTGAATTTTGGAAAGTTCAAGAAATCCCCTAAAACATACAAAATCAGCAGGCCCTGTACCAAGCACTCTGCTGCAGTACCGTTTTAATCTCATCGCAGTTCCAGGGTGGCAATAACATCACCATTTGTCATTCAAGGAACAACAGGAAACCAGGCCCACATGGGCTGCAGTGGCAAGAGGAGTGGGGTGAGCTCCAGGGCTCCCACCAGGCTCCAGAGCTTGACCTCTGTGCAAATCTCACTGTCTTTTCCTGCATAAGCCTCCTTCTGAGGCCCAGGCGGTAGCGCCCACAGCTCCAGGCTCTCACCTGCATGCTGAGAGCTCCTCCACATTGGGGGGAATGTGGAGGAATTTCCCAGTACCACTGGGAAAGTAGCTGAGTGTCTCTGATTGGCCCATGGAGGTCACTTGCCCACCCCTGGCCCTCCCCAGGGGCAAGTCACCAGGTTTTCTGAGGAGCTGAAGCTGGCCACCTGTACTTCCCAAGACAGGTCCCCAGGCTACTCCTGGAGGATGCTGAGGGAGAAGGAACAAGACCCCCTTTACAGTTCAGGAGCCCATGGTCTGGGAAGATAAAGTGACTTGCTGAAAATCAGACACCTAGAAATAAGTCTAGGTTGACCTCAGGTCTACTTGCCACACCCATATGTACCTGTTTAGCACTAGAATTTAACACTGCAAAAAGACCCTTACTTAACTTCTAGATATATCACCAAGTTGAAACATAACATTACAACACTGCTCATTATGAATTTAATTTGGCTAACAAAAAAAAAAAATCGTAAACCTATTTTAAATATGCTTTTGAAAATTTCAAAAAGGAGTTTCCAGTTTAGAAAATCCATTTCCACTAAGAAAAAATTAGAACCTTAAGTGGAGTTTTATTGTCTTCTTTCATAGATATATCCAAAATTTATGTTAATTTTTAAGGTCCTTGGTGATCGATGACTACTTTCCAATCTACCTTGGTAACTTTTTCAGATTTTGCTTTCCAGGAAATTTAAAAAAAAATTACATTTACATTTTTTGTACTGTCATATTTTATTCCAATTAAAGTACAAGAAAGTTAAACTAACAAAATACAGTCACTGTTGTTTGAAAGCAGAAGAAAAAACTTCTACTGACCATGATGAAATATGAGTTAGTAGATTTCAACAACTCAAAAATCAGATGAAAAGCGTAAACTGGTGGTTTGCAGACCTCGACAGCAGGCAGCACAGGACTGTGGTCCTAAGGAAAGGCTGTTTCAGCAGCCTGTGGAGTTTCCGGGCCACAACCCAAACAGGCGCTTGTGGTGGAGTTGAGCACTCAGCTCGGATTCCAGGGGCCAGGAGGGAAGACCTGTGGAGACTGCTCCGAGGTCTCCTTGAGCTCCTCTAGATCTTCACCTGAGCAGGCACCAGCTCAGGCCTGTGGGGATCGACCCGAAGCCCGCACAGCCCGGGCACTTCTGGGGCATCTGAGGGCTGCGGCCGGTGGGAAAGCAGCCCTGGGAGCAAGCCTCTTTCAACAGCTCACACCAGCACCCACAAGGCCTGGCACACACAGGGGACAGAAGACCCACAGAAACAGGCCCAGCTGTCACACAGATGCAGGTGCCAATGCAGACAAGTCATCAGAGGCCCGGGACAGCCCAGAGTGACGGACAGCACAGCGGAGGACACGGGTGACCAGATCCAGTGACCGACAGTGCAGCCGTGGACATGTGTGACAAAGACATGCGTGACCATGCCAGGTGAGTGACAGGACAGCTTCGGACACAGGTGACCAGGTCTGGTGAGCAGGCCTGGCAACCCTGCACACCCACGGACCTGGCTGACCAGGCCCTGTGGTCCAGCGTAACCACAAGAGGGACCAGGCCCTGTGACCCAGCGTAACCACAAGAGGGACCAGGCCCTATGACCCAGCCTAACTGCGGCACTAGTGGACCAGGCCTGTGTGGCCTGTGGCCAGGCGAGAGCTGGTGCACCTGTAGACACCTGTGACCGGGCCCTGTGGCTGATGACAAGGTGGCGGGCAGGCGACCCAGCGGTGGGCGGAGGGCGCGCGGGCCGCTGGAGGGTAGGTCGGCGGGGCGCGGGAGCGCGCAGGCACAGCCTGGACCCCGAGGGGCCCGCGGCGCTGGGGACGCTCGCAGCCGACCGCAGCGTACCGCCTCACGGGCCCCCGCGCGCTCCCCGCCACACTGGTCAACGGCGCGGTCCCGCGACGCACTGGCGTCGGGTCGTGGGCGCGACGCGCGGGGAGAGGTCGACGCGCGTGCGCAGCGGCTGTGTCCGGCGCGCGTGCGCGCTGAAAGGAGAGGGGGGGGGGGAGCATGCGCACCGCGGCCTGTGCCCAGGCGGCGGTTGCTACGGCAACGGCCAGCGCGGCCGACGTGCGGCGCGACCGTGTGGCCGGGGGCCCGCGCGGTTCACTAGCGACCAGTGCCTGGCGGCGTCCAGGCCGTGCACTGCGCGGAGCTGGCGGCGACCGCCGCTGCTGTACAGCGTTAAGGCGCGGGGTCCTCCACGGCCCGGCTCTGGGCCCGCCCTCGACGCCTGGGGACTGGATGAGAACCTCTTTCCTGGTCTCTCGATGCCGTGACCGAAGGGACAGGAAAGGTGACCGCACAACTGGAGGGCCAGCCTTCACGGAACCGAAGGAGCGCTGCCGCCCTCCTGGGTGCCGGGTCCTTCGAGAGGCTGCCCGGCGGGTGACGGGCCCAGCCCCGGCACGTGCCGGCAGCCGCCGCCCCCGGACGCGCGGGAACGGGCGCCTGGCTCTGCGCTGCTGGAGAGGCCCGCCGGGAGGAGCCGGACCCCGGCCGTGGACGGCACCCGGCGCGCACACCCGGCTGCTTCCCAGATGAGCGAGCGGACCAGGAAGGCAGCGGTGTGCGGGGCGACCAGGCAGGGCAGGACTCCTCTTCCCTCCAGAGTCCAGCCGCCTCTCTCCCCCCAAAGAATAAACAGGCCCACTGGCTGCATTGAGTGCCCTCGCGTCCCCGCCCCTGGAGAGACTTGTTCCCTCTGTTCTTCAGATCTCAGCTGCAGGAGGGTTTCATTTTCTAGTCCTAGTTCTCTGATTTGGTCTGAAGTTTTGTTGCATTTATGTCTTATTTACCAGTAGCTGGCTCTTGTTTATATTAATGTGTTCTCTCAAAGTCAATGGGGAACTGCGTGGGGACAGGACTGAGGTATTGACTGGTTTAATTCCTCCCCTCCCTCTTATCAGTTCATTATCAAAGACTTTTTTTTTGGTACTGGGGATTGAACCCAGGGATACTCGACCACTGAGCCACATCCCCAGCCCTATTTTGTGCTTAATTTAGAGACAGGGTCTCACTGAGTTGCTTAGTGCCTCGCTTTTGCTGAGGCTGGCTTTGAACTCGGGATCCTCCTCCCTCAGCCTCCTGAGCCACTGGGATTATAGGCGTGTACCACCCGCCCAACAACAGTTAGACTCTTGATATGTATGTTCCCAGAAAATCCGTAAGAGCTTTTTATGTACACTCTGATTTTCTGTTCACTGTGTTTTTTTGCAGAATAATGAAAGCAATGTGATATGGTGTGATGATAGGATTTGTTGAAGCCAAGTCACAACTTTTCCTGATTCAGCATGCTAAAACATAAGGTACACCAGTCTTCTTAAAACATACACACACTTTTACTCATGGGATAGATTTTAACTCCACCTTTTTAAAGTGTACAAATAGTATTTGTACACTCTTAATGGTGTTTCAGTGAGGAATTGTGAGCAGAGAGGAGAAGCACATGGTGTGGGGCAGTGGAAGGTAGAGACAAGTGTTTCTGAGAGCTGCCCAGGCATCCTGTATGGGGAACTCGTCCATAGGAGAAATGTATTTTGACCAAAAAAAATACAGGGGGCTGGGGTTGTGGCTCAGTGATATAGCGCTGGCCTAGCATATGTAAGGCACTGGGTTTGATCCTCGGCACCACATAAAAATAAGTAAATAGAAATAAAGTTATCATGTCTACCTACAACTAAAAAAAAATATTTTTTAAAAATGCACTGAAGTGCAAGATGCTCTTTAGGATTTGCCTGGAGTCGAATTTAATTAGTATGAAACAGTAGGTTTGTTTAGACATGCATAGGTTTATAGGTCATAATGAATTTATTTACACTATAATTAAGGCTTTAATAATCAACTAAGCAGATATTCCTGTTGTTAACCTTGCTGATGAGCCTGGGGTTGGCTCTGGTATAGAAGCCATGGCTCGAGCTCCTTTGCCAGGTGATTCCATCTCCCGTGCCATCAAGGGCCAGGCCTCATGTTTCTTCCCAATGATACATTACACAGTGCTCCTGTAAATGAGACCTTTTTCCTATTTTTTAGGATCACTCATCTAAAAAAGATAACTTAGCAATCACTGCGGTTGCTTTACAAGATCACATTTTACATGACCTTCAACTTGGAAATCTTTCAATAGCAGATAATTCTAAGACAGAAGTACGAAAGAAAGAGAACAAGGCAAAATCTCTGAAGAGAGATGCAAAAGCAGTAGTAGATACTGGACTTAAAAAACCCACGCACAGCCCCAGGGTAGAAGATCCGGAAAGAGAGTACGTTCTTGATCCCACACCACCACCACTGACTTTAGGTAAGCTGATCCGACCATCCTCGCATTGGCTCATTAGCGCTGATGAACCTGCTGAGTTTAGTAATAGAGGGTTTTTGATACAGAGATCCTGTGCGTACTCAGAAAGGTGTGTATGTATTGAAGCTTACAAACAATGAGGGACAATTTGAACAAGAACATAAAGCCAGTAATACTTGGTAGAATGAGAATAAAAAACAGCAGATTAGAAGAAATACCCATTAATCCATACCAATAGAAATAAATAATTGAATAAATAAATTTTGTAAAAAAAAACAAACTCCTGAGAGTGGAATGACAACTAATTGCAGCTGCCAGGGTGACAGAAAAACCTCCATTTGGTGACCACCACAGGAATGGTCAGCAGCAGAAAGGAATTCAGGGAGAACCATGTGCAGACGGTGGACACTTAGATGGAAAGGCAGTGACACAGTGACCTCGGCACACAGCACCTTCACCCAGCAAATTGTACCAGTAGAGACTCGACTTCATGTGCCTCCTGAGAAGAGGTGTGACTTCACTTCTGGGCGGCTTGCCCAAAATGCACATCTGAATGTGACCATGAGGAAACCTCAGACCCAGATTTCCTGCCAGTACTCTTCAAAAGCCTCCAGAGAAGCAGAGACTGAGAAACTCCCAGATGACAGGAGACTACAGGGACATGATACTAAACACCATGTGACATCCACTCCGAGATCAGGAAAAGGACATCAGTGAGACAGTGAAATTAAGTGAGGTCTGTCGACTATGCAGTCCAACCCATCTGAGGAGTGTGTTCCCAGACCCCCATGGGTGCCTGAAGTCACAGATAGCACGGAACCCCATATGTAGTGCTTTTCCCCTATACGTACAGACCTATGATGAAGTTTAGTTTGCACATTAGGCACAGTAAGCGGTTGGCAGCATTAACAGTAACAGAACAACCGTTACGATACCCCGTGATAGAAGTTAAGTGGACATGTCTCTGAAAATACTGTCCTGTACTCACCTGTCATCTTGTGATTAGCTGAAGTGAGTGACATTCCTTGACACAGCCCTGGGCCACATGGGTGTGATGGTGAAACTGGAGTGTGAGACAAAATGTGATGCTCTGCTTCTGCTGGTGGGGGAGGCCTGTGACCTCTGCTGCTGAGAAAGCCTGTTTTGTGTTGGCAGCTAATCACGGCAGGGGATGCCTGCCGGCACCCACTCCGAGGGGCAGGCCCAGCAAAGCCAGATTCTTCTCCACTACGCGTGTTGAAATTCTGTGCTATAGTAGTAAGTGTGGGCTGTGCCCTCCAGTGTTGCAATAGACCCCAGAGCTCACTACGACTTCTTTCTGACTTATTGTCTCACAGGACAGTGGAAGGCATGGGTTAAAGGAGTAGGGTTTATTCAAGTGAGAATGATAAAAACAGAACTCTTGCAGGACAAGAGGGGACCACAATAGGGTTGCCACCTAGTATGCTAGTGTAGGGATTTGTAGGGTTTGGAAAAGTGCTAATGCTGTTGTTCCAAATTTATGCTTATCAGGATTTGGGAAAAACATTGGTCCAAATTTATGCTGACAGGTTTTGGAAAAGTACTACTGCTGTTGGTGACGCTGGAGTCTGAACTGCCATTCAGCTCTGCCCCACTTGCACTTCCTTGCTGCTTCTTGGATTTGGGACATGGGAGGCTGAAGCTGCAGGATGGTGGATGCTTGGGGTTTGGGGCGCAATGCTGTGCAGAGCAGGTGTCTGCACCAGGCCTGGGTTGGGCTGCTAAGGCATGCGGCAGGTCGGCACACCCTGTCTTGCCACGGCTCAGGCTCATTGCACCGTAGCTGGTATGGCAGGCTCTGTGCAGCCGTGGCCCATGATCACCACACACTATCCAGTCAGTCCACCCTGCTGGATTGTTCCACTGCTCTGGGACAGAGGCTTGGCTTCAGTGGCAAAACTTGCATGAATTTTATTTTTCCTTCTGCACAATTTCATGGATAGAAGATTTTGTTCTTACCACAGATATTAGCAACCTCATTGTACAGTTTTGTTTTCGTGTTGTCAAGAATTTTCACCCTTTCACTTAAAGGAAACACTTTACAGCTTTTCCTTCATGTATGTGAATTGCCAGCATCACAATTCTTACATTTTGGAACCATTACTAACACAATCATTGCAATACTGCAAGAGTTGATCCTGAATACCAAGATAGTAACTAAGGGTGGGTAGTGTATACTGTGTGGATACTGTGGACACAGGGATGGTTCATTTCCCAGGTGGATGTGGATTGAGACAGTGAGGTTTTATCATGCTACTCTAAATGCCATGCAATTTTGAAACATTATTTCCATAATTTTCCATTCAGTATTTTCAGGCATGGTTGACTATGACTAACTGAAACCTCAGAAAGTGAAATTGCAGATAGGGGGACTGCTGTAATTGACAGGTCATGTCAACATTGATGTCCTGGTTTTGATTGTTGGCTAGGGTTATATGCTATGTTATTTTGGGGTTAAGGATATACAAGAATTCTTTCAGCCTTTCATAAATCTGAAATGATGTTAAACTGAAACGTTAAAGATTTTTTTTAAATGATGAGCATGGAGAATATATTTGGTTGGAGTTTTGTGTCCCGATGCAGGTGGATGGACACAGGGTTGTGCAGGCCTGTGGGTTGGCATGTCAGCAGTCAGAGCCGTGCCACGGGGCTCTTTGCATGTCTGCTTGGAGAACATGGTGTGGTCCAGCAGCCTGCTGAGGCTTGGAATGACATCACACAGTGTATCGGTGGACAGTGCCTGTGCATGTAGAGCTTATGTAGATGGTCATCTAGATTCAGCATGGTCAGTCTTAAAAACTTCATCAGGAAAGATTTATATTGGACATCAGGAAGAACTTCCCAATATGGAAAATAAAAGTGTGAAAGAGAGTGAATGAGCAGAACACTGTACTTCATATCAGGTACAGACTCACCCACACCCACCTCACATGCCCTTGGCTCCTGTCTCTTCACTCTGCTCTCTGGAGTTCTCTGTGAGTTCTATGTACAGACCTCCTGGGATCCGACCACGGTGATGTCTTCTGTCTGGCCCTCCTTCTACCTTATCTGCTATTTTATAATAAATACATTTCATTTCAGTTGATGCCCTGTCCATTGGTTTTTCACCTTATTGTGTTTTGTAAAATTTTTTAGTTGTAGATGAACATAATACTTTCATTTTGTATGTTTTTAATCTGGTGCCAAGGATGGAACCCTGAGCCTCACACGTGCTAGGCCAGCGCTGGGCCCCTGAGCCCCAGCCCAGCCCACCTTGTTGGTTTTGGGAGACTGAAGAATTCTTCCCATTCAGAGCTTGCAGGGGTTTTCTTTATCTGCCTTTAAAGCTTTGTCTTGCACATTCCCATCTCCCTCTCGCCTCAGCTGATCCTGTTCATTGGGAAACTGGTTGGAATGAGGCTTTGCTGAGTCCTTTTGTGGCTTTTGTTTCCAAGTCACTTTCTGTTTTAATTGATGTACTTTTGTAACATATTTTAATAGAGGTAAGAAAAGGCCCTTCTCATGCTTCCCCTAAGGGTCGTACACAGTTCTGCTGGAGATCTTGACGTCTGGGTTGTTGGAGAGGGAGTAACACATTTGTAGAGATGGGCTCTGCTCCACAAATGTGGGAACTCTGCTGTCACTGTCAGCCCTCAGTCCTCGACCCTGGGGTTTGCTGAGTAAGTTGCCAGGTCTGCAGGGGTGATCACTGTCTCTTCCCCTCCATTTTTCTGCCCTCTTTTTCCGCTTTCGTCTCTTTTTTCTCTGGCCAGGATTTTCTGAACTGTGTTAAATGTAAGTAGTAATTCTTGGCATTTCCGTCTTGCTCTTGTGTCTAACACAACTTCTCAGTTTATATGAGGTTTATTCTATTTTGTTTTTCTGGTTAGCCTTTAAAAATGGAGTTTCCCTTTAAACAAGTTTCTGGAGTTTTTTAAAGTCATAAATAGATGTCCTTTATTAACTGTTTGGGCTTGAAGCTACTGAGATGCTCTTGCTGAGTTTCCTCCTTTGTGAGTCACCCTGATAGACTTGCAAACCTTGTGAGAGTTGAGTGGCGCCCGATTGTGGTGCTGTCCAGCCATGGTGGATGCTGCACCTAACACTTGCCCAGGAGCTCACGCCTGTGGCCATGGCCCTCGCTGGACCAGGCATGTCCGTGTGCCATCCTTGTCTCATGGGATGGTGGAGGTCACACTAGCGTCATGCAGTGAGCGGGCAGTCGTCCCTCTCTTCAGTACCCCGAAATAACATGAAATAGGAAAGCCCTGGGTGCCTCACCTGCAAAGCCATCAGGCCTGAGCCTCTGTGGCTCCTTTCTGTGGTGGGTAGGGAGCAGCCGTCAGTTCAGACGTGGGCCGCTGCAGGTATGGAAGGAGCGAGTCTTGAGAAGGTGGGGTCACGTGCGCCCGGACAGCCTTTTCCCTGCCCTGCCACCTTGGGGTGATGATAGTGACCTGAGTGGACCCAGAGGTTTGTTTCAGGGCCAGGTCCTAGATGGCAGGGGGCAGGCTGGAAAGGCCGGGGACACGTCACCTGACATGAGTCACTGCACTTTGGCGTCTACCGATGGACAAGGGAGGGCCAGGCTGCCGTGGCATGCTCGGAGCCTCGACTCATCACAGCCGGCTCTGTCAGCAAGACGGGAGAAAGCTCTCGCCATGCTGTGGCTCCTCCTGTGCCCCTCACCCTGCCGCCCCCCTCGGCGTCACCTTGGTAGAGCAGCCTTGGGTTGTGTTCTGCAGAACCTTACTCTCCCTTCTGTCTGCTTTCCTCTGGAACGTGTTGGGATGTCCCTTCGCCCTCCTGTCCCCACTCCCAGCCCTCGGTGGAGGGCATTTCCACGGCGAGGTTTCCATGGCCAGAGCTCCCTCTGCACTGGGAGGGGTCCTCTGTCAGGCCTCCCGCTCGGGGTCTGTGGACGTCTCTCTTGCCTCCTCCTCTGCAGAGCCCTCGTGGGCTGATGTCCATCACTCTTCTGCACAGGGTGTGGAGGGATGCCAGCGTCCTGCCCAGGTATGCTGCTTCTCCACGCCACGTGCTTCCCGTGTTGCGTGCACCCAGGTCTGACGGAGCGGATGCCTGATGGGTGCTCAGGCAGTGCTGGACAGGGAGTCCCAGGCGGGATGAGTTGGCAGGGCAGATGTGTGGTTGTGCACCCTTGTCATGGTCACTGGGGGCAGAAGCAAGTCAGGGTGGAGGAGGAGGTGCTGATGGCCGTGGGTAAATCAGGCAGGACCCAGTGAGGAAATTTTTGAAAAAATTAGTACCCTTCAATTTCTCTTCTATAAAATTAAATATCCTGCTTGCCTTGTAGAATTATTATGAATGCTAAGTAAGATATGGGAGGTTCTTTGTAAAAAAACATAAATCACTATTGATAATGTAAGGTACCACAGTGACACATGCACGCCTGTGTTCGTAGCAGCACAGTTCACAACAGCCAAACCACAGAACCAGCCCAGGGGTCCGTCCATGGATGAAAAGAAAACGGGGTGTATGTCCAAATGGAGTTTTTTTTCTTCCATAAATAAGAATGAAATTACATCATTTGCAGGAAGTTGGATGGAACGGGAGACCATTATGTTAAGTGAAATAAGCCAACCTCAGAAGGTCAAGTTGTATGTTTTCTCTCATATGAAAGATAGGAAAAGGGAAAATAAAGGTGGGGCTGGGGGGTGCTCATTAAAAACTGAAGGAAGAGCAGTAGGAAAGGAAGGGACGGGGGAGGAGGAGGGGGGAAGGGAAATAGTGGGGAAGGATATTGGCCAAATTGTGTTGCAGTGCTGTGTGCATGTGGGACCAGGAACAGCCCCAGCACTGTGGATGATCACAGGGCACCAGTAAAAATGATCACCAGTGGAAGTCTAGGGAATGTTCGACCACTGAGTTCTCCGCCTCTGTAGAAACACATTGTGTCCTGTTCGTGGAGTGTGAGCCACGAATGCACTGCCTGTCCTTACCACCATCACGGGGGTCCATACTCTAATCATCACCCTCGTTTTTTGCTTCTTCCCTGCAGCCCAGAAGCTGGGCCTCATTGCGCCTCCCCCGGTGCCGCTGTCCTCAGAAGAATGGGAGAGTGTGAAACAGAGGTCCATCCTGCACGGGGACTCCATGCAGCCGTGCCCCATATGCAGGGAGGAGTTTGAGCTGCACCCCCAGGTGCGTGGCGTGCAGAGGAACAGGTCAGGCTAGGGGCTGCCTTCTCGACACAGTGAGCCGAGCTGGACGTGCGTGGGATGCCCGGCCAGGCCTGCTCTTTCCAGCCCCGTCCTCCTCTGACCCTTAAGACGTTCCCCATGTGGCCAGTCAGAGTGTGTGTGAAGGAGCAGACAGCCTCGTGAGGCAGCTTGTGATTTACTGAATGATGCCAAGTCTCAGGGCAGGAGCATGCACAACAGGAAGTATTCTGTTGCGTGAGCAGAGATGGCAGGTGGAGGGTACAGGGAGGCCCGCGAGTCCCAGGGCAGGGGAATGGCACAAAGGGACTTGTGAACTGAGTCATAAAAGAGGAGAGAGACTGTGTTTGAATGCCTTCAAAGACCTTGGGGGAGAACCCTAAGAAGGCCGTATCCTTTCATCTTGACTCTTGAACCTGTGGTGCGTGAGCAAGGATGCCACCTGGGTTTGTGAATGGCTGGGGGCCAGTGGCCATTCTGCCTGCTGCTGTCGCCAGACTCAGGCTCCCAGAGTGTCCTTGGTACTGACAACTGCCCTTCAGGGACTGTCTGCTGGCCGCAGCACCCTGCTCCCCCAGGACAGACCAGCAGCTGTGGTCAGAGCCGGCGCGGATCCCGGCCTGGGGAGCTCCAGGCCTCCCTGACACCCTGGCACATAGTCTCTAGGGTTAATCTGCTTCAGAAAGTTGGATTATCAACAAGTAAGTTCACAATCATTAGACTTTTGCTCTTCACTAATCTGAATTCGCAGGTTATTTGAAACATGCTTATTATATCCCAGTTCTCCATCAGGACCTGAGTTGAGCATTTTAGAAGAGAGTTTAGCACAACAGATTGCCAGGTAGGACGATTTATGACTCAGTGCCGAGTGCAGCAAGAGAGTTGATAAACCCACGGGGATCTTCCTGGCCTCAGCAACCTCTTTCTTAATTTCCCTGTGAACATTTAGCCTGATTGTTCACATGAAGATGGAAAACTCAAAATTAAATATCTTAAAGGGTGTCAGGGTACATCCTGCCCAATATTTCTTCCATTCTGCTCTTTGTTTCTCACTAAATTCTATTATTTTTGTTTATTTTGCGTATCTAATAATTATTCCCACGTTAGCATTTTCCCAACACTTTACCGTTTCAGAGGGCCTTCCGGTCAGGCACATGCCCACTTAGCAGATGAGGCAGTCATCTAAGTGCTCCACAGGCCGCCTGGGAGACATGGGAGAGCCCAGCTAGAATTCAGGCCTGACTTCTAGGCCTGACTTCTTGATAGTCTGTTTACTATCAATCATTAATTCTTTATATCACCAGATGTTTGCCAGTAATGCATATTTGTGGACGTTTACATCTAGAAGTATAATATTTTAAGTCTAGAGAAGTAGAGTGTTATTTATTGTTGGTCAATCATCTGTTGATAAAACACCTGATTTTTCTACCAAGAGTGAGTAGTTAAGTTCTTGGATGATTTTAAGCACAAATTTGTCCAGTTTACACTTATTGTTGACAGGAAGCATCAAGGAAAGGTTTCAAAACTTTTTGAATTCTCCATTTCTTCCTTCGTTCCTATTTAAGAATCATGACGTGAGTGAGGGCAAGGAGGACGGGGCTCTTGAAACAGAGCCTCCCCGCCTCCCAGGGCCTGCATCTGAGCCTGGGCCTCCCAGGCCGTGGGCACCTTGGGCCCAGGTGGAGCTGGGTACTGGGGGGAACTGAGCTCAGCACTCCTGCTGGTCTCTCTGCTTCTCTTCACTGGGCTAAGCTCCTGTCCTTGGTCCCAGCACATCACTTTTGGTGGGGAATATGGGTCACATTTACAAAAGAAAAACTGGGGCTGGGGATATACTCAGTTGGTAGAGTGCTTGCCTCACACGCACAAGGCCCTGGGTTCAACCCCGAGCACCTCAAAAAAGGGAAAAACTGACTCCTTTATCCGTGATTTCTGGTATTTAAGTCTCTGAGATTATATTTCAATAAAGCTGTATTAAAAGTTAAGTTGGACAAAGCATTCCTCTGCTCCTTCCCACAAGACCTCCCCCTGTGGCCCTGTGGACATCTGTCCCTCTCGGCCCCCATCTGCCTGGAAATAGCCCACCCCTAAACCCACTCATGAGCGGGGCAGGCATGAGGCCTGGCTGCCGAGGGGTCCCTGAAACAGAACCGTGTCATGTCCCGAGTGTGATGCTGCTGCCCTGTGGGCCCCAACAGTTGCCCTTGTGAGGATGCTGTGCTGACTGGCCCCTCTGTCTCCCGCGGACAGGTGCTGCTCTCCTGCTCCCACGTGTTCCACAGGGTGAGTCACCCCCACCCCGCCACACTGCCCCCAGCAGCTTGCTCATCATCTTGGAGCGTCCCCAGAGAGCCCTCTGTTTTACCCATGATCACCACTTGGAGTTAGCACTGTGACTGTAGGCCACACTGCAGTTCATCCTGTTTTGAAAGCCATGAATTTTATGTGACAAAAGAACCACAGACATTTGTGCAACAGATTGTCGCAGTGAGGCACATCAGGGTGAGTGACGGACGGCGTGATTCCTGCCGTGGTCTCCGAGGCCGTCTTGTACACGGCTGCTGGCCTTACCACCCATAGGTCTTCAGGAGGTTTTGATGTCTCTGCATGTGTATTCTTGTAAAAAGCCATTTTTTGAACAGGTTTCATGAGGAAGGTGTTGACATCTGATGAAACTCCTTCACTTCATAGTCCAAATTGGACTAAGTTTCATAATTATGAGAGAATAGAACACTATAATTATATTAGAAGTAAAAATGTTGTTCATAAGTAATTACTCATAAAATGTTAAATGAAATCTGTTTTGCAGGCATGCCTTCAGGGTTTTGAAAGGTTCACAAATAAAAAAACATGTCCTCTCTGTAGAAAGAACCAGTATCAAACCCGAGTGATCCATGATGGGGCCCGTCTGTTCAAAGCCAAGTGTGCTACCAGGTAAGAGCTCTGCCCAGCTGTGGCCAGCGTCCTGCCAGGTGAGGCGGGTGTCTGGGGCCCCAGCTGCTAAGCCTAAAAGCAGAGGGCTTCATGTCCCTGCTGGGGCCTGGCTCAGCCCAGGGCTCACAGAACAGCGAGCAAACCTGTGTGTTGTAGGATCCAAGCCTGCTGGAGAGGCTATGTGGTTAGAAAGTGGTACAGAAGCCTGAGGCAAGCAGTGCCTCCCACAGATGCCAAGTTAAGGAAGAAGTTCTTTGAAGAAAAGGTAGGCATGGGTCGCTCGTCTCCAGTGGTCTCTGTGTGCAGGTGCTCACACCCGGTCCGTAGAGCCAGCAGGGGCAGGAGAACTTTGAGGCTTAGTTCATTTTTTAGGGCGTTTAGATGAGTGAAGGCTTGAGAAAACCCCACTCTTCTCCGACCTCGATCATAAAACGACAACAGGTTAGACTGCAAGCAACTTTCGCTTCCCCATTTGGAAACCGGCTTGAGTTTTCACGTCCTGGTAATTCTAAGGGAAGCAGAAGCCAGAGCTGGGAAGGAAGACGGCAGCTCTCTGGCTGGGCGCCCCTGGGCTGGGGGCCACCGGATCGCAGCACGCAGAGCTTTGTACTGCTCTTTACTTCTATTTTTACTGGGCTGGGGGGGGGCGCTTATTTAACAATTTCAATGATTTGTGCCTTGTAACAAAGGCCAAGCATGGCGAGGGGAGGGTGCCCCCAGATCCGGAGCCCACCCGATCCTGCCTTCTTTGTTCGGCCTGGTGGGCACAGGCAGGTCACAGATGCTCCCAGGCCTGTCTCCTGTGTGTGACAGGAGAGGGATTTCGGCTTGCAGGGTCAGTCTGAGCCCTGGACGGCGTGTTTACGGAGGCCTCGCTCACAGCAGCACTGGGAGTTCCCACTGTGAACACGAGCTGATGTGCCTGGGAAGGCTTTGGAGCTACTGACCCTCTGTGCCTTAGTCAGCTTCATTCCTAAGCTGACACTCACCACCCCAGCGCCCTGTGATTGGCTCTCTGCTGAGCTCCTTGGACTCCCACTTGGACTAAGGCGAGGTGGGAGCACGCCTCCCTGTCTGGAGCAGGCCCCTTCCCCATGTGCCCTGGGCCTGGGGCATGGCATAGTACATCTTTTGCTTTAGGGATAAGGTCTGGGCTCATCACGGCCTGCTGCAAGGTTTCATGTGACTTGGTGTGACCTTGGACGAAAGCTCAGTGTCCTTGTCCCTCAAGAGTGGCTTCAGAGACCCTTTGTTACCCGAATCATCCCAGAACCACATGAGTCCTGCCAGCCCTGGCCTCGGAGACGCTAACACAGGGTGATCTTTTCAGATGTGAGTGAGGGTAACGGTACATTCCACTGGCTTACTGTGGTGGACTGTGCTGTCCCGTCTTGGCCTGGGTCCCAGGCTGTGGGAGCTGGGGGCCCTGCAGAGGAGAGTAAGGAAGACTGAGGTCCCACCACTGAACTGGGAGGCAGGGACATCTGAGGAAGGGCCACCTCCTGGTACAATACCCTCCCCTGCTGTGTGCTGCTGGTGGTGAGAAGCTTTCACCTGCCCACACTGCCTGGTTCTTTTTCAGAAAACACAGCAAATGGGCTAAAGGTTCTGACAAGTAACTGGATAAAGAATGTGTGTGGCCTCTGCTTCTCTCACAGCCCGTCCTCTCTTGCTGCAGAGAAAGCAGCAGCCAACTTCTTTCTAGGTCTCCCGCTCTGGTCCCAGCCCCCGGGCCAAGGTCGCAGTGGCAGCCACGTCTGCAGCTTTGCCAGGGGAACAGGTCGGAGCGCCGTGTGTCCAGGCGGTGGCTCTCTCCCCACATGGAGGGGTGCTGTAGCGGTCGTTCTCCCGTCAGGGGATGGTGGTCTCCCCTGTGGTTTCAGTCTTCTTGAACCCACCTTCTTGTGCGTTTTTGCAGCAGTAGTCCACGGTCAGGCTCTCCCTGGGGCCGCTCTAGGCTCTCCCTGGGGCGGCTCTCCACCATCAGGCTCGCGCGGGGGCTGCTCTCAGCGTTAGGTTTCTGTTCGTTTATTTGTGATGGATCTCACTGTTGCAGTGCGTGGGTTCCAGGTGACTACTGTCCCAGAGGCAGGAAAGGAGCACATGTACGTTGCATGAACTGGTGTGTGAGCGGCCTGGTCTGCACTTGGGGCTGAGATGACCCTGTAAAGTTTACCACGGCTCCTGCCGTGTGTGTGCCCCTGCACTGGGCTGGGGGCAGAGGGTTAGGGGCAGGCTCTGGAGAGCTGCCCTGCAGGAAATGCACCCTCACAGTGATGGCATGTGCCTGCCGCTCAGGAGACCCCCGTGCTCCCTGCACCCCGCGCTCACATCTCTGTCCTGCTTCCTCTCCACAGCCCCGTCTGCCCGCTGTGGCAGTGTGCTACTCACCTGGGGCGGTCCCTGGCTCCTGGGGAAGAAGCCCTGCACATTCCACAGAGGGGCTTGCTGAAGCAGGTTCTGAGGGAGGCCTGGCCCCTTGTCATGTGGAAGGGAGGGCAGGAGAGGGACGTGTGAATCTGGAGCACTCTGAGATCCTGCCAGAGCTCGTGGCACACACAGGAGTGTCCCAAGTGTCCTGGGAGATCTGCTTTAGACTCCTGACCAATTCAGAAACCCGCAAGCAGCCAGCCCTTGGTGCTGCAGTCCTCACACCTCCTTTCTGAGCACTGTCCCCTCCCCTGGCCTTAACACATGAGGACTTAAGTCAGGGGAGGTCTTCCGCAGGGTCCTCCCAGCTCCTCAGCCGCGTCCCAGTCACGGGACTCCTGCAGTGGGGCATTCTTCCTGCCTTTAAGACTTTAAGGCTCCATCAGACTCCTTCCCTGAGCTATAGAAACACAAGGGACCATTAATCTATAGTTTAAAGGTCAGCCTGTTCACGGAATCTGAGAGAGCTCTGAACTGCCTCACTGAATTCACCATGACCAAGGTGTCCTGTGACTGGGCTGAGGGCGGCTCAGATTATCTGTTTGATATTATCTCTGGGTGTGTCCATGAGGACACAAGCAAGATTAGCATCTGAATCTGTAGAATTAGAAAAATAAATCACCCTTCCCAGCATGGGTGGGCAGTAGCCAGAGCAGAACAAAATGGCAGGAGAAGGAAAATCGCTTGGAATAAATAGTTAAACAACAAAATGGATTCGGCAGCTCAGGAGGCTGAGGCCAGAGGACCACAGTTTTGAGGCCTGCCTCAGAAACAGCAAAGCCATAAGCAACTTAGGAAGAGGCTGTCTCAAAATAAAAAGGGCTGGGGATGTGGCTCAGTGGTCAAACACCTCTGTGTTTAATCCCTGCTACCAAAACAAACAGATGGAAACAATGTGTTTGGAGGAAAGCATTACAAAATAAGTTTATGATCTGAGATAGAAAGGACTTTTCTGAATGTGTTTTTGCATAAGCCATAAAGGAAATGATAACAACATAAAATTTCAAAACTTCTTTATAGGGGGATAAAAATTAAAAGATGACCACATCAGGGAAATGTCTGCAAGCATACATGTCTTTAAACATTTCCGTAATACACTGTGACAAGCAGTCTGCCGAAGAGGGACTGCGGTACAAGCTGAGGTGGGGGTGTCCAGCCTTCCTGTGGTTAAAATGAGAGGTGAGAACCCGCCTCACCGAGAGGCAAGAACTGGAAAGCCAGGTGATGACTTTCCAGCCCAGAGGCAGAGGGGGAAGGGACGTCCTGGTGACCGTCCCTGGAGTGCTCAGAGGTTGCCCCTACATGCCCGAGACAGCCACAGAGGAAGAGCATGAGCCACCAGAGAGGCGCCCGCTGGGGACCCCTGGGTGACCACTGCCCAGCAGCCACAGAGCCCCAGGTAGATGTGCAGAAAGGAAGATGAAGCAACGTGTGGGATGTTTGATGGAATTCTTTAAGACATAAATGAGAAAAAAGTGAATCTGAGTGATCTTTAGGGCCATATAGTATCGATCTTAACAGTAGTATTCTGTAGAGAAAAATGGGAAGACAAGGACAGGAAGAGAATTACCTTTTGTTTAAGCCTTTGTGGACTTTCTGACCTTATACACATAGTTTTTGGTGAAGGAAACAAAATTCACACTATCTGTAGAGAAAATTTGTGTTCTCTGCTTTTTCTGCTTGGTATATTTCTATATTAAATAAAAAAATTATCTGTTAAAAATTATTCCAGCAAAAGTCAGGAAAAGGGAAAAAGGCAATAAGGAAGGATGATCAGTAGAAGGTAAGATGACAGAGTAAAACACCAGTAACAGACATGACGGGGACAGACTTCCCTGTCTCATAGCAAACTCTTGGAGAACAAAATGAAACAAAAATGCCCCGTGTAAAGGCATGCTCACCACAACCACGCCAGCGACCAAGACGAGATCCCAAGAAAATCAAAATAGCATAATTGAATGTTAAATAATGTATTTTGAAATTTAAACTCTAAATTCTGATGTTCATGACCAGAATACCAGTCTTATTTGGTGAATAGCTAAAGCTATTCTTAGGGGCAAATTAGTTGTGTCAGATAGAATTATTACTAAGCACAAAATATTACAATAATGAACCACTCATCCAAGTCAGAAATCTGGAAAACAACACTGAACTTTCTCTTAGATAAAGGAAGTAGACAATATAAAGATAAAATAGATATTAGGAAAAAAGCAAAGCTGGTGGATGAGCTGGTATTTGGGGGGAATACTTTAAGACAAATATGTCACCAGAGTTTAAAAATACTATAAAACCATTTCATGGGACCCAAAGCCCATGGTTCTAGCACACACATGGCTCTCAAGCGGCTTAGCAGAATCACCTATCAGCACCTCTGCAGAACTCCAGACTGTGCCCCACTCCCACGCAGGTCACTCGGCTGCTACCTACCCACAGCACAAGGTCATCACCCAGCTCCCCCCACTCAGCAGACACCCCAGTGCTACAAGCAGACCAAATCCATCTTGGAAAAACCTTTCTCGCCATATTTGGTGGGTGTGGCTATCAGATCAGGTCTCCATCTGAGCAGCATATCATCCTATGCCCGACCCTCAGTTCATCGTCCACCGCCGGAGACTGTGAACCTTTTTATGAGACTACTGATTATATTTTAAATAATAATTGATCCAACATTTCTGGACATTGAGACCAAACTGTAAATGTCTTAATAACAACAATTTGTTCATAAGTGATGTATTGTTGATATTGGGATCTGTTAACATTGTCCTTCCCCACAAAGGAGGGATCTTGGAACCCTACATGAGCACTACAAATCTATAGGGTAAAAACAACACACCA